TCTGTAAGTCAAGGGGGGAAACAGCATGTCAGCAATGAGTGTAGTAGGCAGAATTCGTGTGACATGATCACATGTAGCTACATTGGAAAAGAACATGCAGTAGCATGCTGCTGTACTGGCTCTGAGGGTCTCACGGTGTCACATTGCAGGAATTCCCCCCTGCTCTGCACCATCCAAACTGGTTTGAGTCATAAATGTTTTCTAAACTTTTATTGAATTACTGCAATAAATCTTTTAGCAACACTTTGCCTAACGTGTGTCCTTTTTCAAGGTCTGGGCATCCACTTCTACTCCTGCGTTGAAGGTAGCAAAAAATTAGATTTACCTCAGTCGTATTTCAGACAAATTTTAAAATCATTGTTCTGGGCTCTTTTCTCAGGTAAAAAGCAATAGCTTTAAAATTTATAAAACTCTACAATGGAGTTTCGTCTGACATACTTTGACCATGTTGCGAGGAGGGACCAGTTCTTGAAGAGGGTCATCATTATGCTTGGGAGGGTGGAGGGACAGCATGAGAGAGGAAGACCCTCGATGAGATGAATTGACCCATGTCAGAGACAGTAAGGTTGGATCAGGCTAGATAGAGCAGGGTTCAGAGCTGTTGTACATAGAGGGTTGCTATCAGCCACAAGTGACTCATCAACACATAACACAACACACATGTGGTAGCATCCCATCATTAGCAAGCTAGAAACTGGTTACTTAATATTTACATACTTTCTAAAGGTAAGTTTTCTTGGTGGCCATAGTTAGCATTCTAAAGCTAGGTTTTCTTGGTAGCCATCGTGTGTTGTCTACAGTGGTTTGATGTCTTAGCAATGGTGCAGCCTCATCCTAACCATCCCCAGACAATATCCCTCTGAAGGGGATGGGTCTCCAGGGGACCCATGTGCATCCTGCCCAGGTATCCTTTAGGACAGGAGGGGAAGAGAGGAAGTGGTAGAGGTCAGAGGGGATTGCCAAATAGAAGTAGACTGTAGCTTGGTGAAACCTTTTTCTTTCCAAGTTAATTTACTATGGAGAAAGACCAACTGGTAGGTGGAGGGGTAGCAAGAGTAACTTGGGGGGTGGGGGGAACCCACATATAGCTTTTGTTACTGAATGTTTATATTGTTATAGCTTTGGTTTATATTTCATGTGTTGGTATTGTTTTGGTTGTGCTACTCCTATACCAGTGGATAACAAGTCAGCAACAAGAGGAAACAGGTCTAAAACCTGAAGAATTCCTAGCAGGGTTCATGCCAGAGTGCCCAGTACAGTAATGGTATTATCCTTCAGGTTCTTAGGTACCGCCAAATCAGAACCGAGCCATAGCTGACCCTCTAGTTTGTTTTCAGCAGCAGTAAATAACACAGGAGGCTGCCCACCTTTCTCCCATGGAGCTGGTGGGTTCAAACTGCAAACCTTCGGGTTGGCAGTACGACTCCTTATCACTAGGCCTTCATAGCTTCTTGTCTTTCAGGTACAAGTTTAAAATGTGTTTTACCTCTAAAAGAATGAACTCAGACTCATTGCCATCAGTCACACATCACGGACCCTCCTGTGGGATCCTGAGGCTGTAAACTGCACAGGAAGAGATTGCCCATCTTTCTCCCACAGAGCTGCTAGTGGTAGATTTGAGTTGCCATAGAGAGGTACTACCTTCGGGTCAGTAGCCCAAATCCTAACAAACTTCACACTACTGAAGCTCCTTTGAAAGAATGAGGGCTAAAAATCTGTTGGGAGAGTTGACCCTTTGAGAAATTGGCAACACTAAGGGAAGTGTGTTCTATTGTACAACAGAACACATTTAGATAACAGAAAAGGCAAAGGAGGTTGAGTTTTCAAGTATGGAAATACAAAGGAAGAGGAACAGTT